ATACATGTTCGAAATTGTGTGTCGGTTGATTGGCTACACTGAACCTAATTGAGATGTAGGAGGCTCGTGGTGTGGTAGGCGGCCGCAAGCACTACACTGCTAGTAGGATTCCGGAGGCTTAGACAGGGGCTGAAAGGGATCTCCGCCTTAGCCGAGACTTCGCCAGTATCGCAAAGTCGATGTCAACACAGTCGCTGGCGTCTTGCGTCATGCCTTCGAGGCAGGGTTTAGGGATTTGGGGTTCCACAAAGGAGTTTCCAACATTTTCCATGAGGGTTCTGTGTAAGGGTTCTTTATGGCATTGGTCCTTTCAGGGTTCTTGGGCTTGGGAGGAGTAGTGTTTAGGGTATCGGGGAACCATCACCACTAACGCAAGGCCAACAAAAACGTCGCAAGACCTGCTGAAGCAGAGCAAATCTCCACGTGGGACGCATGTCTGAGGGCATGGCCGTGGCTCTTGGTGTTGGACGGTATGCAGGGCGTTGCCTTATGAGGGAGCAGCTTTCCCAAGTTTTCAGGCAGAGGTGCGAGACCCAAGCAGAGGGCCCAGTGGAAAGATTCAGCTAAGATCTGGGCGAAACTCGGTATATGCTGGGCTTTCGAGGCCCCATTGCCCACGGTGTTGTTCTTTCCAGCCTCTCGTCAGCTCTGTTTAGAACCCTTTGTGGAACCCTTTCCCTATATTAACAGGCCCGAAAGCCTGTCCAGTCGGCTTGGGAGCCATCGTTGGAAGTGAGCCTTCAAAGAGGCTTCGCTGCTTTGAACAGATCTCCTCAAAAGACACAATTCCCGTGCCTTGTAGTCGCTCGTGTTGCGCTGAGCTAGCCTTCAGTTCGGCTTGGCATAAGGATTAAAGAACCAAAGCGGCGGGGAGTTCAACTGACAAGAAGTGCATGCGAGACTTGCCTGGCGGGCCGCGCAGAGTTGCCGCATGTTTGCACCTTGCGCCATGACCCATCATGTCAGCTTGGCAAAGTCGGCAAAGTCATCGATACGAGCCTTTGCACCACAGTGGCCTGTGCGCAGGGGCTTGAGATTAGTGTGACAGCTTGCCCCGGCACGTGTCCTACGTGCTTTCCATCCTCATATCTCAACTATTGGTGTGGGCAAGCCGGTATGCGGCCTGCTTAGAAAGCCCGCCGCTGCGAAGGCGGTCAAGCCCAGTCCAATCACTGCCGCACCCTCGCAGCTGCATCAGATCAGGCGAAACGATGACAAAAAGAGATTGCACTCACTTGCATCTCACCTGCAGATTGTACCGGGATGCCTGCTTCCCTTCCACCTGCAAGTCACAGGAGGCCCACCGTCCATGAAACATCTGACAGAGCATACCTCTAGGAAAGCATTGGAGCGATGCCACGTGACAGGTGGTCATAATTAATATGCACATGAACGCATCACATATATATATATATATATTATATTTATGTATGTGTTTTTGTTTATTTATTCATTAAAGGCTAGAAATGCACGTACATCTCAATATCTTTGCTGAAAGGATCGCCTACCATACATTCTGTATTACATACTAATATACATGTATGTGTATATATATATATATATGCGCATTCTCGGCTATATCGAATATATAGTATATAGTAAGCAGTACATATAGTATATCCGTAAGTTGGAAATATGTTGTATATTACGGAATATAAAATGCAATGTAATGCAAGACCACCGAGTATAATATGACACACCGAAACTATAATATCTTATAACATAATAAAGTACATTACAATATGGTATAATCTACAAGATATACTGAAATATATCTTAATGATATGTAGCATAACATAGTATAATATAACACAATCCAATATCGCATGATATCGTATGATGTGACATAGTTTAATGTGGTATAACATAACAAAATAGGATATGATAGATATGATATTAGGATATGAAATAATGTAACATTGGGTTCTACTATACTTTCTCATGTCATATTATACTATATGATTTTTTGTAACATATCAGACTCAATCAAGCCCAATATATCAAACTATGTTATATTATAATATGTATATACATATATATATGTATGTGCCGTTAAAAGTTAAAAAACATGTCACCTGTACTATTTATGAAACTTTTTATCGTATACAAAAATAACGCACATCCTATACAACATAAAGCAGATCACATAAAATGCCGGAAATGTCATGATAGGCCATATACAATACATACAGTAATACATATAGTCGGAAGTATAAAACAGATGATGCTAAACATGTGTTACAATAAATTTGGCATATGTCATATAAGACATTAAGTTATATGTATACAAAACATAGAAACTAAAAATAGAACAACAAATAACCCTGTGCATTATATAAAGAAATTATGTGTATGAGCATATATATGTATATGCAAATACATGTTTGTCTATTTCGAAAAATCAAAAACATGCAACAAATATAAAATTCAACATGTAACATGCTAAATACATGCATTGCACAACACACTATACCGTGGTGTCGCACATGATATTTGGTACATAACAAAAGAGGTATAGTCTAAAACACACCATATGTGGCATGTGACATGCAATGTACGACCTAGTATATAATATGCAAACTAATGTAGTATATGTATATTGTCTTTGCTTACGTAAACGAAACTGTATCTTGTATACTGTACATACAGCACATAACAACCAATGTGTACTACACATTCTTTCTTTCGAATATGTAACACACAACTTAAACCTGGTCAAAGGTGATACAGAATATTACATAGTAGATGCTGCATCAGATGAAACATAACTACAGCACATAACAACCAATGTGTACTACACATTCTTTCTTTCGAATATGTAACACACAACTTGAACCTGGTCAAGGGTGATACAGTATATTACATAGTAGATGCTGCATCAGATGAAACGTAACTGACAGAGTGTCGAATGTTAGCTATTATGAGCTATACATGTCATGCAGTATGAACTAGTATGTCGCTCTATGTGTTGTTAAAGAGGCAAATACGGAATAGATTGTGGAAATACTGCACAGCAGAGTACGCGTAACATCTAATGTACACTACATACTACAGACGGTACGTATCGAAAGTCCTTTAGGCTCTCCGTACCGTCAACAAATATATAACATAGCAGAGATACATGGCGTATAACGCATGACTTGTACATAATACCTCATACACAACATGTACATAGTATAGAAAATAATACTAAACAAGTTATACATAAGAGACAAGATTAAAACATAGTAGTGACACGTGACGAAGCCTGCGTCAGCACTGAATCCGGAACCGGGACGATCTCGGCCGCATTGAGGTCCTTGTCGGCGGGCTCGCACCTTGACTGCTGCGGCACCGACGGTCCACTGACACGATGCCTCCTTGCCCAAGAGAACCCTGCAGTCATGCCTCAAACAGCAGATTTCCAATCTACTCCCAAGGGCCGAAGGAGAAGGCAATCCTATGAGCCTAGGAAGTGACGACCGCTGTGGAGCATGATGAAGACATGAAATATTGCAGGTGAAGACTCGTAGCTTAGCGACCGACTCCTGGTGTCAGGTACAACAGACTCCGGCCCTGGAAGGAGGCATCATGGGCGAAAGTGACGATGCGAGTTACCCTCTTATCGGCTCTTCGGAAAACGGAAGGCATGAAAGCCATCAGATATTATCATGATATAGGTCCGAGTTGCGACGTTGTGGCTGGTGGGACATCGCAAGCGAAAGCTCCCAAGCTTGGGCTCAAAGCTGGCTCCAGGGAGCTTTCCAGAGCTGGCAGCGAAGGAGTTGCAGCTTCCCCCCAATCCTGTCAGCAAAGTATGTCCTATTGATACAAAGCGCTACATATGGAGGTGTATATGTACATATGCCTTTACATATATATATATATATATATACATATATATATATATATAATATAGGTAGAACTATACTATATCTATGTATCTTTACGACATCTATCACGGAGCCACTATCACTAGGGTTGCCTACGTAGTGGGCGTGCTGCTCCATCTTGGTAAGTCTTCCCGCCTGAAGGACCTTTGGACTTCCATCTTTGGTGTCCTTGAGACTTACCGGCAAAGGCTCCGAGGAGGTGATGGGCTCGCCTGAAGGCAGCAAGGCACAGGGCCGGACCATGAAGATAATCAGGAGGTTCATAGCATGAAGCTACGTTGTGCAATTACTGTGATGAGAGTCGTAGGAAGAATGGAGCCTGTGCCCGGCCTTCAAGCTTTTGAGTCTGCTGACCCTCAACAGAAACAAGTGCTTGAGGAGGAGGACCTGCAGACACATCGTGGCCGGTCATGAGATATAGGAAGCTTGCTTCCCACGCGACTTCTGACTTTGTCTCATGGCCTTCGGGTGCTCGGGCAGCCAAGAAACGCCCTCCAGAACAAGACGTCGACGCATTGCTCGATTGGGGGAGGGCATCACGGGGTGCCTGCAGCAAGACCAAGTCCGAGAAGTGCAGCTCCGGCGACGACATAGCCTAGAGCGAGCTCACAAAAGAAGGCCTCCGAAAATCCGGTCTCTTGTCGGCCCGGTGCGCCTATCCTACTCGGCACGGGCTGCTCGGGCAGATCCTGGCGGTTGGAAGACTTCTGCGTCTCTTCGCCACAAGAAAAACCCGCCTGGAAAGTCTGCGTCGCGGCGCTTGCCAGTGATACTGGGTCTGGAAGCGATGGAAGGGTTTGCCTCGGGTGACGGAATGTAGCAAGTTGCGAGGCGTGGCCATATCCGTCAGGTCGCGTTGATGCTTCTTCTGTATTGCCGATAAAGAACCTCAGGCAAACATTCTGTGTCACCTTCTCACATACGGTGCTTGGGGCAACCTCACCACAGCTGCTGGTGACAGCCAAGCTGCCAGTCGGCTTGATCGCACTCGGTTAAAGAACCCTCCATGGTACCCACTGCAGCCGTGGCTTGGTGCTAGAGCAAAACAGCTGAGGCATGCATACGTGAGTGGAGTGCGCGAGGCACGAGCTAAGGCCAGCCAAACTAGCCAGGGGCGGTGGGGCTGACCGTGCCATAGAAAGCGATGTCAAAGAGGAACCAGCAGCCTGCCGTTCCTGTGTTCGGGTGCGCCTCTCCATAATGGATGCTGCAGCGTCAGGGCTGGTCGTGCCTTTCAGGAGCTGCCAATTGCGCGCATCTCCCAGGTTGCCTCCTGAAGCCAAAACTGTCATCACACCACTCACTCTACATCTTCCGGTGCTGAAGCTAGGCGCTGCACGGCCTGATGCCCGAGCCTCAAGTATGTTAAGGCTTCTGGCTCTGCAATGCCCTGCAATGCTCTGCACACTCTGCAAGTTGAGATGGCTACCCCAGAGTCAAGCTCCTGCTGTTGAGGCACCGTTAAACTGCCCAGAGGAACCCCTCGCAGGCAATCCGAAAATGGCCTCCTCGTAGGCAGAACACAGCAAGACCTTGCTGGATGCAAGAAACCTAGCTCAGCTTCTTTCAGCAGGGCCCTCGCCACGGCTGCAGGCAAAGCCCCGATGCCAAGCAGAATCCGGAACTGCACGGAGGTGATGCCCTGCGTGCGCGTGGTGGCAACCTTCTTATAGCAACCTAAGTAACCCTGCAGTATCGGTAGTGCCTGGCTGGGAGGCAAGCTCAGCAGGGGCAGAGCCAGCCTTCAAAACGGGAGGAGTCACAGCCGGTGCCTGTGCAGGCCAAGCTCAGGAGTCGACAGATATGGAGCCAGCTGTCCGGGCCCTTGCCTCAAAGTTCAGGGTTTGTTTTTTGGGTGGCTTAGTGTTTACAGTTCTCGAGTTCAGGGTTTTGGGTTTCGTGGTCCAGCATTTCGGATCAGAGAAAGGCTGCCCAGGCACCAAAAGAAGGCTTTCGCCGCACTGTTGGCCGCGTCGACGGCGCTCACCTTGCACCCAACTGCATCTTGCGGCGGAACGACATAGAGAGAGAGAGAGAGAGAAAGACGCCTCCCTGGCGCCTTTTTCTGGCTGGCCTGCCTGGCCGAGAACTGTCCGTGCAAGTCAAAGAGACAGCTTGACTCTGATTCCTGCCGAGCCTTGGCAGCGCTGAGCGGGTAGTTACCACCAACCTTCCATCACCGCACGTTGAAGGAACATTCCCTGCTTGGAGGATCATGGGACTTAGTAAGTAAGGTTATAAGTACCCTAATTGGCTAATTGGGGTTATAGGTAATTATAAGTCTAGTTACCTTATTTATAACCCTGGTTCCTAAGTCCCATGAACCTCTAAGTGGAGCAGTCTTGTCCGGGGTTAGGACACCGATTCCCATTATCAGGCGGCTCACTGCAATCATAGTCCTCGCGAACATTCCGAAACTTTGGATCTCAAGAATCTCACACTCGTACAGCAATCAGGCTCCAGATGGTCTCTGGTGTACCTGCCGCATTCCGCAAATTTCGAGGGGCAATCGATGCACAGCACATGCCGGCCAGGCCCCAGGAGAATAGGGAGGATGCCAATGCCCCGAAAGCCGCCAGCGCGTTGGTGACAATCTGAGAGAATGCAGCAAGACGCGGCATCGACCCCCCACGAAGTGACTCTGCTGCAATTGCTTCAATCTGACAGACAGCAACGAACTTTTGCCTGTGGTGAAATCCTCTCTGCGTTTGAGCTGCGGGCCAGCGCAGGCCGGACACCCAACGCATCGCCCAAATACCTGCAAATAGCCATCTGAATCTGTTCGACGTCCACTCAACTGACTGAAGCACCCCATCGTCAGCATGCCAGCCACGGAGCCGATGAAGACTGCGCCTACGGACGCGCAGAGCTTGAGGCTACAAAACTAAGAGCAGAACCCTCGTACAAGTGCCCCGCCAAGCAGGCCATGCGCAACCTGAGTCGGTCTTCTCTATTTCTGCCGTTCTGCTGCAGCATGGTACTCTCGTGTGTGTGTGTGTGTGTGTGTGTGTGTCTGTGTCTGTGTCTGTCTGTCTGTGTGTGTCTGCAAGTCATGGAGTAAGTAAGTTAGTCAGTAAGTCAGTAAGTCCGCAAGTAAGTAAGTAGATAAGTAGGTAAGTAGGTACGTAAGTAGGCACGCAGGTACGTCTGTACATAAATAGGTAAGTAGGTAATCAATTGAGAAAGAAAGAAAGTAAGTAAATAAATAAGAAAGTAAGTAAATAAAAAAATATAAGTAACTTGCTCCGACTCAGTCAGTGTGCATGTGCAGGGGTAGGGGTAGAGGTCGGCGTAAGGGGGTTGTGGGGGGTGGAGCGGTCTTGGGCTTTCGTTTCGAGGCCACCGCCCAGGACGGCTGCGGAAAGTCCGGGCGGACCTTGGTCACTTGCAACACCGCGATGAAGGGCATGGCACGAAGGAACTCCGTATTGAGTGCGAGACTCCATCTCCGATGATGTCGTTGTGTGACAGCATGATGGCCGCAGCGATACTGCAAGCTTGGGTCACTCTGCTGCTTCACAGAGTATGGGTAATGGCACAATGCGAACTAGCATTCCTGCTGCATGAGCCATGCTGTAGGCAATCAGTCTTGCCTGGTTGTACCACTTGGATATCAGTTGACTTGATACTCCAACGAGCAGAATTCCACCCGGACTCTTCCCAAGTTATCATTACCTTGAATTTGCTGCAGGTTTGCGTCGGCCTCGCAGACGAGTAGTTGTACTGGATGGAGAAATTGCTGCAGGCCGGCCTCGCTGTTGGCGGCTGCAACCAACTTGCACTGCGCTTGCGAGGGCCAGGCACGAATCTTGGGCATTGTCGGCACGTGCTTCGGACGTCCTGTGGCTTCCGCTACGCAAGCCGCAGGAGTTCCCATGCGTCCACGCCTCATCCCCGCTCTGTCGGCCTTCGGGCACTTCACTGCGACCACCGCTTGAGACTTCCTCTGGGGACCGCACTCATCGAGTTCGGTGCATGTCGCAACGCCTCCTCTCCACCTGAGCCCAGCGCTGAGCTGTGCTCTGAGACCTCGGCCTGATGTGCCCATCCCGAAATCGCAGCATAAGCCTTGAGCTCAGCTCATCCCGCGCAGGCTCAGATCGGGGATGACCTACATTAGGTTTTGCGGTATCTCGTCAATCTAGTCAAGTCAAACCGAAACTCGTTACGGTCAGGCTCCCAAGATGGATCGTGATAATAGCCCAAGATCTCTGTCAAGATGATCTGTTTACAATGAGCTGCCTGAGCGACACGATAAATAGAAGATCTGCAAAGCTTTGGGCATAATAGGGCATAGTGAGCTGGCTGTCGGCACGCAATCCATATACCCCCTCTACACTTTTGCCCTGACGGAAGGGGGCATCAAAAGAGCGAACGACGTGAACATTTCACATGTCATGTGGATTGACCAAGACCACGAGGCTCGGCGAAATGAAGGCAGGGTGCCGCCCAACTCTTTTAAGCTGCGGGGCAGGGGTCGGAGCAGCCGTTCCTTCGCGTAGCAAAGAACATGATGCTCCAAGAAACATAATTATTTCTGGTGTGCAATTCTGCACCCGAAGAAGAGGAGGCCACGCCGCATTCGCAAAAAGACCCTCATATCCGACTGCAAACTCGAAACGTAGGTGTGGGTCCTATGCTTCGCTGACGAGCCAAGGGAAACGTGTGAGACATCTGCCTGGACCCTTCGGGTTCCAGCTGATGGCGCTAGAAAATGACAATGAACCAACTGCAAAGGCAAGCGTTCATATGTGCCGCGCGCAGTAGATCAACGATCAGCCAGGTCCTGCAGTTGAGAGCGTGTCATCCTAGCCGTAGCCGGCCTGTCAAAGCGAGCTGTTGAGCTATGCGAATGCACAATGTGCACACGTCTAGACCCTCAGTCTTTGAGACAACGCTTCACTGGTGCACTGCAGTCCTTACGCCTTCAAGGACAATTTCAACGTGGCAATCTCCTCGAATGCAATGCCGGATAATCTTCGCGTATGGTCGGTACTCTCGAGACACGTGGGAAGTGCACTGACCTCGTCCCGCTTCCGGATCTCGCATTCATAGCCAGTGATAAGCTCCTGTAATCGGAGGCGGCAAGCGGATCCCCTCAACCCGAAATGATGCTGCAAAGGATTGTCCTCCTGGTTCATGACCAAGAGTTTGCTGTGGCTTCTCTCCTGCAGGCAGATACAGGCAGGTTGCCGTTCTGCTGCAGCAACAACAACAACAGCAACACCAGCAGCAACAGCAAATAACAGCAATCCACAGAAACTGCAACAGCGACAGCACCACCACCCGACGCCAGCAGCAGCAGCAGCAGCAGCAGCAGCAGCAGCAACCAGCACCAGCACCAGCACCAGCACCAGCACCGGCACCAGCACCAGCACCGGCACCGGCACCAGCAGGACCACCACACAACCACCACGACCATCATTACAATCACAACCACCACTACCACCACCACCGCCACCATCACCACCGCCAACACCGCCAACATCACCGCCACCGCAGCCACCGCCACCATCACCACCACCACCACCACCACCGCCACCACCACCACCACCACCACCACCACCACAACAACAACAACAACAACAACAACAATTTTTCAATTGGACGCTGCGCGAGCGGGCTCAGCGCATAGCGGGCATGTAGCCGCCTTGGCACTCACGGCAGTGAAACCGACCGAAAGAAGACGAGAGTTAGCAAGTTCAGAAAGTAGCCACGGCTCGAAAGCATCTTGACCAGAGCCTATGCTGGACGGGCCGGGCGAAGAGAACTTTGCCGGAAG